TTTCTTTACAGTGTCTTTTGATAACCAGAAGTTTCTCTATTTTATTACAGTTGAATTTATCAATATTTTCCTCTTCAATCAACAGTTTCAAGAATTTTTTCTTTGACCCAAAATCACAAAGATATTCTTCTCTATTACTAATGTCTTCTAAAAACTTACTGGTCAACCACATGTAGATCTTCAATTCACCTGTAATTGTGTGATAATAGGATTCTTTATTCTCTGTACAGATAACCAATTGTCTCAGTAGTATTTATCCATCTTTTCCCCATTCGTCTACAACTTCAGCTGTCATAAATCAAGAGTCTATTAATCATGGCTCTGTATCTGGGCTCTTTATTCTGTCACATAATACTGCTCTACTATACATTCCTACACTAGTACTGCAATGCCTTAATTTCATATTAAGTCTTGATATCTGATAGAGCAAGTTTTCCCATTGTGTTCTACTTCTTTAGAAATATCTTAACTATTCTTGGCCCTTTGTTCTTCCATCTAAATTTGAACAAGGTTGTTATTTGGTATAGACGGTACTGGGATTTTGACTGGAATGACACTGAATATGTAAATTCATGTGAAGAATGACATTTTTATATTAAGTCTTCCTGCCCATTAATACAGTGCATCTCTCCATTTAACTGAACTTCAAAGTTTTAAGAATTTTTAAAATAATTTCTACATGATAGGTCTAACATGTCTTTCACTAATTTATTGCTATTTAAGTTGAACTTTTGTTGCTACTATAAATGGTTATATATTTTTAATTGTACTTTTTGTTCACTGTTAGTGTATAAAATGTATTGATTTTTATAATCTTTTATCTAGTGATCCTGATAAATATCCATGTGAATTCATCAGAAGACTTACCAGAAGGTTCTTCTGTGACTTTCATGTAGACACTCCTATAACCTATGAATGAGTTTTCTTTCTTTCCCACTGTTCTTCTTACCTTACTCTTCTTACCTTACTGTTCTACCTAGAACTTCCAGAACAAAGTTGAATAGCAGCAAGAGTAGATAACCTTGACTTGTTCCTGATAGATCTCTTTATTATATTAAGAAAGGTCCCTTCCATTCCTAATTTGCTAAGAATTTTTAATCATAAATTACTGTGAAATTTAATTGAATGCTTTTTCCTCTACAGAGATGATTGTGTACTTCTCCATCAAACATGTTTTTTTTATAATAATCAATCTCTAATTTCTTAAATAAATTCGATTTGGCCATTATGTATTTTGCATTTTATAGATAGATTCAGCATGCTAAAGTTGCTTTTTGTGTGTGGTTTTTGCTACTATATTTTTGAGACTGGCTAATAATTTTCTCACTCTATCCTTGCCCAATTTTGGTACTTAGAGTCACATTCTCTATGTAAAATAGGAAACTGCTGCTGTTAGAACTAATCCATAATTGTTTTTGTCTGGTGTTGTAGACAAAATTTAACAGCTGACGTGTTTTTTCTACCTAGAGTCAGTTTTGATAATTTATATAATTATAGAAACCTACATATTCACAGCTTTTTAAAAACTTAAACTTTACTAGCATAAAGTTGCTCACACTATTCTATTATGCTTTTAAATATCTGCTTCATTCTGATATGCCCCAGAGGTAGCAGTCATCAGGGCAGTCCATGAATATTCTGATTTTCCTTCAAGCTCATGGTAGGATTGCATTTCCTCATTATCTCTGATGCAAATACGCCCTGTGGGCTCCAGAGTCCAACAGCGAGGGTTCAAATCCCAGCTCCATTACTTACTGTGTAACCCTGGCAGATTACTTCACCTCCTGTGCCTTGTTTCCTTACACATAAAATGAGGATGTTAACAGTAATTTCTAACAACCAATTCCCTCCCCCAAGGTCACAATCATGGAAGTGTGTGTAGAAATGAAGATTCCATCAGCCTAAGTTATTTAAGTGACCACAATGGGCCTACACTGGATAAATAGGAAAAGCAAGAATTAACCTTTTTTATTTTTAAACCTCTTAAATTTGGGGGTTGTTTGGATCACAGCATATCTTATTTTTTCATCCCTCATATTTTTTCTTTATCCATCCCACCCCAATATTATCTTCTCAGAAGTTACTGATTTCATCAATCTTTTTGAAAAGCAAGGTTTTGTGGTCTCTACATTATTATTACTTTATTAATTCTTGCTCTTATTTTTCCACTTCTGTCAAGACTTCTTCTTTGACTTGCATATAATATACAGAAGTATATTTTCTATTTCAAACAAACGGGAAAAGCTTAGTTATCTTTTTGTCATTATTTCTATCTAAATAGCACTGTGGTCAGAGAACATGGTCTATGTGGTACCAGTACTTTTATACTTTTTTAATACATGATTCACGGCTCAGTGTATGATTTTAAGAAATGGAACATTTGTGTTTAAAAAGAATGTGTGTTCTCCAATTGGTGAGTGCAGTGTTTATAGCATGTCCACTAGTTCAAGCTTAACAGCTGTTCAAATATATTGTTACTAATTTCTTATCTGATTGATCTATTGATTACTAACAGCTCTCCTGATTATGGATCTGTTAACTTCTCAAGAGTTCTGTTGATTTTGCTTATATGTTTTAGAGCTAGACTATATGAATTCAAATTGAGAACTGAATTTATTGCTGAACTGAGCTTTTCATCAATATTTAATGACCATCTTTACCTCTAAAAGCATTTTTTGCTTTAAAGTCTACTTTGCCTGGTATTAATTCAGCTATAACTACTTTCTTTGGTATATTTGCCTGGTTTGTATTTTTTCATCCTTCTAATTTCAAATTTTCTGTAGTTTTTTATTTTAGATAATGCTCATTGTAAACAAAACTGAACTCTAACACACTTCATCATTGAAGAAGAATTTAGAGCATTTATAATGATTGTGATATTTGGATGTATTTCTACTATCTTATTTTAATGATTCATTTTCTGTTTCTTTTCTGCTCCTCCTTTCTCAAGACTTCTTTTGGGTTGTTTGGACAGGAACTGTTTTTACCTTCCCCTCTCTCATTCTACTTTAATTTTCTTGTTTGGGGGATTTATATAGTACTAATAGTTTGAATGGTTTACCTTAGAAATTTTAACATGCATATTTAACTTACAATGCATATTTAACTTATAAACTTTGACATTAATTATCTTCACTCCTCCCAACAACACAAATCCAGAGAATACTTTAACTCTGATTACTTCCCTCCAGTTGTCCAGGAAGGACAACAGTTAGTTCTATCTATCAATAGTTAGTTCACAAATTAGACATTAATATTATTTTATATGGTTTACATATCATTTCCCTACACATTTACCATTTTTTTGGCTCGCCATTTCTTTTTACATTTTGGACTTTCCTTCTGGGATCATTTTCCTTCTTCCTAAATCATATGCTTTCGTGTTTGGTATCCTGTTAATTCACTACAATGTGTCTTCTTATGAATTTCTTTAATTTATCCTGACTGGGATAGATCAGGCTTCTTGAACCTGAGGATTCCAATTTTTTAACATTTTTGGAAAATTCTTAGTCATTCTTTCTTCAAATATTGCCTCTTCCTTAGTCTATTATCTCCCTTGGAGATACTAACATGCATACTGGATTATCTTCTTTTACCTGTCATGTGTAACCCCAACTTTTTCTCTTTATATTGTACTTAAAAAAAAAATTTCAAACACTTTATTACAAATTCTCTTCTCAAATCTTTCTTTGTTGTTTTACCTGTCCATCAAGTTTCTCTCCTCAATATATTTTTAAGTTATTTTTTATTCTTTTTCAAACTTACAAATCTTTTTATTATTTCTTTTATGCAATCTTATTTCCTTAAGTAAATTACTAGTTTATAGTCTCCATCTATAAGCTCTGTAGGTCTGATTGTGCAGTCCCGTTTTTGTTGGCTCTTATTTTTGGCGAGTCATTCCCCCTATATGATGTTTAGGTTTGATTTATAAATTTCTCAAAAATTCGAATTATTTAGAGATATTTTGCTTCAGAGGATTTGCATTTGCTTCTGCCAGGTGCTTGGAGATACCACTAGTTGGGGCCACTTTAAAATTACAATTTATGATATTTAAGCCACATAGGTAATATGAATTCTGGTCCCAAACATGTGTTAAGGCTTATGGTTAAAAACTGTTTGGAAGACAGACAAAACAAAACAGACACTCTTATAGAGAACAAACTGATGGTTGCCAGAAGGGAGGGAGGTGGGGGGACGGATGAAATGGGTGACAGGGATTAAGAGATATAATTTTCCGGTTATAAAATAAGACACAGAGATGTAACATACAGCATAGGGAATATAGTCAACAATATTGTAACAATTTTGTATGGTGACAGATGGTAACTAGACTTAGTGTAGTGATAATTTTGTGATGTATAAATATTGAATTACTACGTTGTACACCTGAAATTATACAATATTGTATCTCAATTATTCTTCAATAAAACTAGTAAGAATAATTCTTTGGAAGATTTTCTTTTTAACTTCAATGTATTCAAACTTAACAATAAGTAAATAACCCCACTATCCCATTCTGTGGTGGTGTTTTTTCTGCTAAACACAGCACTTGGCTTCTAGTTTTATCTTCTAGCCCTTCCCTACCTTCAGGGACCCCAGTCCTGTGCAACCAATCTAAAGCCAGGCTCTGAGGTACAAAGTAAGCAAATGCCCCTGGGGAAATAACTCCAGAGCTTGCTTAAGTCTTCAGATCCACATTATTTGCCTCTGCCCTTGGTAAATTTACTTCACCTTCCCACAAGCCCAGCAATATATTTAAAAACATTTTATGCTATTTCTCAGGATTTCAAGTGTTACATACCTAGAGAATTCCCAAGGTATATAGTCCAAAACACTTCTAGAAATGGGTATCTCCCAGCATCTCTTACCTGCCAAGTTCATTCTTTATACTGAAGCACTACACATTTGCTATACCCAAGGAACCAAGACGTAGAAATTGATTTGCTACTAAAATCAAATCATGACTTTGATTTTTTTTTTAAGTATTAACGTTAACTCACCTTATCTGCCCGTCCCATGAAAGCAGGTTTGCCTGCTAATCCAAGGCAAATGGCACACACAATGCTGGACTTCCCTGTTCCATTAGCTCCAATAATCATATTCAAGTGGGGTCCAGGAGATACTTCACAGATATCATATGTTCTGAATTACAAAAAAGGAAGTTACTAAGAGGAGATAAAAACTGAAGAATGTCTTCTCTACAAAAATACTTTTAGGTGCTTTACATCATCTACAGGCTTCCTCAAATTCCTTAAAAGCTAGCTAACCTTAGAAATTTAATGTTACATATAAACTGCCAATAAAATAAAGGGGAAAAAAATCTATCAGTGGAAAAAAATGAAAAAGACTTACTGCATAAAGACTTAATGCATAGCTAAATTTTATGAAAATTTCAGTTACCCTTTTCAAATGTCTGTTGAATAAATCAAAGTCTGATATTATTTATTTCTTTTTAAAATAGTTATAATATATGAGAGTGACTATACAAATATTTTGGCTCATCTTAAATCTGTAGGTTTTATGTTTATATTTCTCTTGAATTAAAATGTTTAACAGCAACTTTTCATATTTTAATATTTGAAACAATCCAAATTATTTTCATTCTAATTAGAAAACTGAAGTTATATATTAATCCAATGGTTTCATTTGATTAAAAAAACAAAAGAACAAAAAAATAATTTCCTTTAACATGCTGTCAGAGATGCACTGAAGGATCTGTTCGTTCTTGTTCAAATAAATTTTACTCCCATGGGAGGAAATAAGAATGCATCATCACCAAGCACTTTTGTTAACACTTCCTCATACCAGAAAGCTGCATGCTGTCCAGCACTCTACCTATCTGCAAGAGTAATAAGCAGTCCTTACTAGCCAAGAGGGACAGCAATGGCGAAACGTGATACAAACTTTGACTCATTCTTCTACCTTGTCTTTGAATACCTTGAATTGGAGTTTATAAAAATGGCCTGTTCCCACAGGCTTTCAGCTAGCTGCCAACTAATTTCCCAAGAATGAAACCTTAGCCTGCTGACCTGCTAAGAATAGAAGTAATTCAACCAAGCACACTTCAACTTTAATACTCAAAGAAATCAATGTTGAAATGTCAGGTAGTAATAAAAATAAATGCAGGTGATAAAGGAGAAGTGTTTTCTGGTGGGTTTCCAACCTCTCATCTCTACACAGCATCAACTTTATGTTTTCAGATCCTTTGTTCTGTTAGCAGCTTGGTTTTAAGGAATCCTTTTTAATGGTTAAAAAGAAACTAGTTTGGGAACTTCAGACATATGGAAAATTAACTGACTTGGAATTTCTTAATCCCAACACATGAAGCCCATTCTTTGAACACCTGAATTTCCTGCTGTGAAACCTCTGTCAATGGTTTTACTAAAATAGTGATGCAATTGGTTATTAAGAAAATAAAACAACAGGAAAAACCATGAGTATGTCTGGTCTATAACATACACATAGATTATATGAACAGGAAAAGTTACCAGAAACAAAACATGCCTCCACAGTTAAAAAAATTAATTGTTCTGACTCTACAATGTGTTTACTGGGACTCCCCTTTTGGAGAGTCCCCTATTCTCTGAGCTCTCCCTGAAAGACCTATCGCCAACGGCCCACCCTCTTCTCAGTGTATATTCTTTGCCTGGTATCTCATGTAATCTCCACAGCCTCAGGTAGCATCTACAAGCTGAAAGTCAGCCCAGATAACCTACAGATGAAATTACCACCCCAGTAACTCTATTTGGATGTCTCACAACAGTCACATCAAATTCAACACATTCAAAACTAAACCCATCATCTATCCCATTCAAAACCACTCTTCTGGTCTCTTGGTGAATGGTATCATCATTCACCCCACTGCCCCAAACAGAAATCTAGGCATTAGTTTTGCATCATCTTTGATTCTACTATCTCCTTCACCTCTCCTGTGACTTCCCTGAAGCATCTAATCAATTACCAAGTCATGTTGGTAGACATGCATATATGCCCTCGCTTGTTTTTGTTTTTCCTCAAAAAAGAAACGGTAAAAAAAAATAGGACCCTTCATAATTTAGCTGTCACTTCATCTTTTTCTACTTTCTATCTCCTTCCCCTATTCTCTAATCGTATCTCCAAATTCTACATATAATAAATTTCTTTGTTTCTTGACTATCTTATGCTTCATTCTTTTTCCAAGCCTTTGTACATACTATTCTTTCTGCCTAGACCTCTCTCTCTCTCCATTCCCAATCGTACTCCACTTGGTTCACTCATAGGAATCCTTCCCCTTGGCTATATTCTTCCAGGTCATCTCAGGTTTTCTAAGCCTATTTCTCCTACATCAATCTTAAAACTCAGAGTCCTCTCATTGTGAAAATACACAAAACCTCCCTAGCTCTGCACTTTCCAGCCACTATTTCTCCAGTCTTTGCCTCCTCACATTCATTCTTCTATAACTGCAAAATTTTCTTTTCCCACTACTTCAAAAAGTCAAAGATTTCCTCACTGCTAAGTGCTGTGGGCTCCTTTCAGTCCTGTTATCTGACTTCAGTGTAGCAGATGATATTTTTGAGACACTCTTTATCCTAGGCTTCTTTGATAATACTCTCCTACCATTCTCCTCTTATCTCCCTGAACAGCTCCTTCTCAGTCTGTGGCGCTCTCTTCTGCTCACCTTAAACGTTAGCACTCCTCCAGGACTCTGTACTTGGTCTTCTTTTACTCCTATTCATATTTCCTTTGGGGCAAGCTCAACCATTCTGCAACTTCAATAATCACCCATATGCATGATTCCCAAATTTCTCACCTGTTCACATGTTCCTATAAGCTCCAGACCTTTGTTAATATGGACTATGGAAGATCTCTTTTACATGTCCCATGAGAAAGTTCAAGTCATGGAATCCAAAAGGTATTATTGTTCTTCCTAAATTGCTCTCTTTTCTGAATAGCACTGTATCTGACCATCAGCCTAGGCAGAGACTTGGGATATTCTTTGTTGCTCCCTGATTCTCATCCTTCACAATCTGTAGCCAGATTCTGTCAAACTCTTTTCTTTCTACTCCTCAATTCCACTGCTACTACTAGGTTCAAACTCTGATCACCTCTTGCCTTCATATTCTAAGAGTCCTCTTGCTCCCATTTTTCAACCTTCCTAAAATTATCCCTCACACTCCTTCCAGAGTAACAAATCACACATCATTCCTTGCCTAAAATGCATCCTGGTTGCCTACAGGATGAAGCCAGAACTCTTTAGCATAAAAAACAGATCCTCAGTAGCTGCCTACCTCTTCAGTATTAGCTCTGTCCACATACTCATATCCTATGTTCTGGCCACACTAAAATACTGGATGCTTTCTAAATATAACAAACTGTTTCTGGCAGTTGCTTCTGTCTACTTTGCTCTTCCCTTGAGCCTTTCATAATCTCTGGTACAAAGGCCCTTTCTCACAGTTGTGGATGAAATTAATCACTTCACCCTTTGTATTCCCATGACATCCTGATACACTGTTAGGTACCTCATTTGGATGTACTTATATTTCCAGTCTGGATTCAAATAGCAATTCAGCTATTTATTAGCAGCTACAAATAAACCTCTGAAGCTTATCTCATCAGTGAGGATAATATAGTAAGTTATGATTAAAAAATGAGAGCACTGTGTAAATAAGGCACCTTCCTCTACACCTGATAGAAGCACATGATAGGTGCCTGAAAAAAAATGTTGGTATTTTTACTGCAATTCTGTTTACCCGATGCCACTATCCATAACCTTAAAAAACAGACCTTGACCAAATGAACTGGAAAGTGCTAGACAGATACACGGTGTTTGTGTTAAAACGTGTTTACTGAATTCCAAAATTATTATACTGATTATTGTCGAAAGGCAGAGAAAAGGAATCGGGGAAGAAAGCTGGATTTGGAGGAGTCAAGGGTCTGCTGGGAGCCCCCAAAATTTAGAGTAAGGCTTGATTTTCCTTTACCTTTCAACATTCATGCGGAACAGCCTTCACCATCTTTGTACATCTGGCAACTACCTACTTTTTACTAATCTGTCACAGCATCACTGCCACTCTGATATAACTGTTGCTTCCTCTTGAGTTCCCAGGGCCCAGAGTTTCGTGAATTACGGATTTTGTCCTGTCTAGAGGCTGTGACTCCCAGTGGGCAGAGATCTAATCCTTACTACGTCCACTGCCCGCTCTTAAGGCGCCTTCGAGAAACGTTGGCGAATGAATAAAAAGACGCATCACACAAAACACACACCTACCACAGCAACACGTCAATCTCCAGGGCAAGCGCGTAAAAATCTTTACGGTAACCCCAGCGCGAATCTCTGCCAGACCGCGGCCAGGCACACACCCCTCCAGCGCACAACCCCGCTCGCCCCCGGCCACTCACAGGAAGTTCTCCATCACGATGCGGACGATAGAGCCTTCCACGAAAGGCCTGGACGCCTGAGGAGGCGGCGGCGCCGGCGGGGCCGAGCTCTTCCTTTTGCTCGGGACCTCCGACGAGGGATCTCTCGGGAGAGCTCTCTTCGAGGCAAGGGGGCCGGGGACCGGCGTCTTCCCGCTCGGAGTCGCCATCCCGGCCTCCTCTCCCGCCCGCCGCGGCTTCCGTCCTCCCCGATTTGCGGCACCGGCGCCCCGGCGCCCCGCTCCCGCGAAACTGCCCGGCGCGCTACGCCGCCCGTGAGCCCGCCCTGCGCCTGCGCAGTCCACCCGGCGGCGCCAGCCCCGCGTCTCTCCGCCCCCACTCGGCCGGGTCCCGCCCCGCCTGGCGCTGCCGGCGCTGGCCCGGGAGACGGGAGCCGAGGACTACTGGTGCGTCTTGGGGTGGGGACCTCGTAGGGTGCAGCTACGGCACTTTCTTCTCTGTACAGTTGTGCATTTTTTCAGAGTTCTTTTAACTCAGAAAAAAGATGTCAACTGCATTTAGTATTTTGAAAGCCCTTTCAGCGCTCCGAAGAAGTGGATCCGCGAGGGGACGGAGGAAGGCTTTTACGGTGGTACCTGGGGCCCCGGGATGGGCCGGGGGCCCGGGGCAGGAGACGCCCAGAGGGGTGCCGTCAGACCTGCCTTGATCGGAATACGGCTGAGTGCCCGCCCGAGTGCACCCGTCACCAGTTTGGGGCCCTTCGTCTTATCAATTTGCTTTTAGTGAGGTACCCGTGTCAAAAAAAAAAAAACAAACAAAGAGAAAGAAAAAGAGGACTCTACCAAATAGCTCTATGCCTATCTCTCCCTTAAAGCATCGTGCCAGGTCTCCAGCGCGCCCCATTTTGCACAGATTCTCTCCAGGGTCTCTTCACTCCCTCCCTTCCTCCCTCCCACTCCCCTTTTAAGACTTAATCTCTGGAGGTTTCTAGAAATTCAGGAGCTCGAGGGCGCTGGCTGCAATGAGCGGGTGCTTCCGCTTAGGCCTGCTCACATTCATCTAGTTAACCTCATTAAAGAGGAGGTGTACTGAGGCCTACGTGCATCTTCATTCACTCAGCTAATAATGTCTCATCTGCGCGTGATCTACAGCTTCTGCCGTAAAGGAGACAGTCTCGGTTGCGCGTCTCAGAGCTTAACTTCTGGTGCAGGAGACAGAGCAAGAGCAAGTGAACTAACACATGTTCAGGTCATGCCAGGCGGTGAAAGGTGCTATGAAGAAAATAAAACCGATTGTGAAATGTGATGGGGGAGACACTAAAGAGCTGTCGGTGGAGGTGATGTTTTATCTGAACCCTAAACAAGAGCCAAGGGTATAAATAAGAAAGCTTTCTAGGCAAGGACGAAGGCTCTGGGGTGGGGACAAGTGGGATGCCCCGGGAAGAAAGGGAAGGCCTTGTGGCTGCACTGGAGTGAACAGGGCTGCCTAGTGAATTTCATTTTAAAAGCAGTCGGAAGCCATGAGGTTTTAAGAAGGAGAGGGACATGATCTAATTAAAGTTTTAAAACGACCACTCTGATCTTTGGAGAGAGTCAAACCTGGAAGTAGGGAGGCTGCTTAGAAAGCTACTGCAGTGGAACACTGATTCCTAACTCCTGGACCAATGCTCCTTTCCCAGGTCCCTGCTTCTTCCTCTAACACAAATGGAATCTGCGCTAACAGAAAATAGAATGAATAAAATCATAGCTTGTCATGGTTACTAAAAATAAAAAAGTGCATGACAAAATAAAGAATACTTTTAAAACTGTTCAAAGGGCAGGAAATAATAAAAATACTCAGTATTTATATTATAACATTCCCTACACTGACATTCCCTACATTGCTAGTACAAATTTTTGAAAAGTAATTTGGTATTCTGCTTCAAGAGCCTTAGAAGAATCAAATCCTTTGAAGAAATATTATGTTTGGGGAACACTGTCCTATAGGAAAAATAACAGGCAGTAGTAATGGGAGTTAAGGGCAGGGAACCAGTCTGATCATTTTTGTGCCATCATCAGTTCTTTAGTATAGTCCACAGTGACCCTGTACTAGCAATGTACTAGCAATTGTACTAGCAATGTAGGGAATGTCAGTGTAGGGAATGTTATAATATAAACACTGAATATTTTTATTATTTCCTGCCATTTGAACAGTTTTAAAAGTATTCTTTATTTTGTCATTGAATTAATCAAATAGTGCTTAGAAACTTGAAAGTTGAGAATGACTCCCTGAACTTGTGATACCATAAATGCACACACACATTATGAGTTCTTATCTAAACAGCCAGCCAGTCATGCTCTACCACCATACTTTAAAAAGGAAAATGTTACTGGTTTTGCTTCTAATTACAAAACCAATACATGTTAAGTGCAGAAATTTGGAGAAAACACAGAAAAATAGACATACACCAAGGGAATAATTACTCATGATTTCTCTACCCAAATTAATTACTATTAAGATTTTGGTGTATGTTTTGACATTTCCCCTTGTATATGTATGGCATGCTCCTTTTGTTCCAAAAACATAGGATGATACTGCTCAAATTATGTTACCTATACTGTTACTTAACCCCTTTTTCTCAGTATATTATGAATATTTCTTTATGTCATTAAATATTTTTCTGTGACATAGTTTTAAATAAATATATAGTACTCCATCAAAAGATATACAATGTTTGATTTTAATACTTCTCTTTGGCTGGACTCTGACTGGAAGTTTGAACCAGGGTCACTGTGGACTATACTAGCTCAGCTTCCTAACATCCTTTAACAATTTCATCCACCCATAAAAGTATACACATCTATCTTGTTACACTTGTTTTTTAATCCCACCACGTGAAAACTGTCTTAAAAGGGGTGGCAGTGAAGAAGCAGAAGGTCTTTGGAAACAGAATATCAGTTTACCAGAAACTGAGGCTAATGAATAAGTAACTGAGCCACAAGAGCTAATCCTGTGCTTCTAGGATTTAAAATTCCAGTCAGCAGCTGAGTTCACCATGCCAACCTTGCCAGCTAACAGATTTTGCAAAGCAGTTGTATTTAACTTCCTACCAACCAGGGACCATTTTGAGCTATGGCTTTCCAAATCTGCAGGAACTTTAAAACTGATGCAAACAAAAAGCTGGCACAAAGGGACAGAGCCAAGGATTATAAATATATTTCACTTCACCATCAGAGCACCATCTTCTGCATTCTCTTTCTTGGCTTTACTCCAAGCCCTTGTTAAAATGCCACAATAGCAAGAAGCCTGGCCAAGACACATGGACTGGGACTCTGCTGAGACCATGTCTGACTGAGACAGTTTATTCCAGTACTAGTAAGGGCTCTTACAGGTTCACAGAAATAATATTCTTTCGTTTAGGTATCAGGTGAGAAGAAAGACTCCTGTTGCTTTTGGTAAATTTATAAAATGGAAAAGTGAACCCTCATGACTTGGGAGAGAGGAAGTCAGATGCTAAAACCTAAGTCTTTGGCACCTAGGAACCCCCCATCCGTCTTCCTGCATTCCTCCTCAGGCTCACTTTCTGATCAGTCTAGTTAAAGAACTGATGGGGAAGAGCTAGGCAGGATGAGGGGTTTGGAGGAGAACCAGCACTCTTTTCATAGGGAAAACTAAAACCCTGGACAGCAAGCTTCTGCTAGAGATAAGGATACCTTATCTCTGAGGTTTTTACTTTCTAGACATTTGTTTCTAATATCATAAAAAGGCTTAAAACGGCCAAAATTATCTGCTCCTTCTTACTGTAGTGGTATTAGCACTGGAACTGGTTAGTAATAGCTATAGTAGTAGTAGTAGTAGTAGCTAATACTAACAGCATTAGTTTTAAGTACTATTTCATAATTAGTTTTTATATTCTGGATCAATGTCTCAACAGATTTGTGTCTTTCTCAAACTTCCATTTCTTGGATGCAAAAACCAACAGAAAGATTTTTAAAAATCATTAGGAATTAACATCAGGTTTCAAGTGCTTTTTGTGATGTGTCATGATAGAAAGCCTAGAACTAAAGAGGCCTTCATATCTTTTAAGGATATAAAATGGGAAAACAGTATTAAATTTTCCCAGAAGGAATTTACCTTCAAGTTCAGAAAGACCACAAGGTGCTACAGCACTATGTACAATCTCTTCTCTGCCAGTCCTTGCAAAGTGAATTGATAGTCCTCCTTAGCCAGGCAAGGGGTAAAATTGTGCCCAGTTGAGAATCGCTGCTCTTACCCTACCCACTCTTTCAGGGTATAGAAAAGGAAAGAAGCCTTTCCAGCTCCTCTTATAAGTCTAACCTTGTCTAAATCCTCTAATTTCTAAGGAAAATAAAGGAAATGAAAATTGCCCACCAATCTTACTCATGAACATATACGCAAATAGATAGCAATGTTCAAAAAAGTAAATACTCCATGACCTAATTGGATTTATTACAGAAATCCAAGGTTGATTAAACACTAACAAGCTAAATCAGTTAATGTGATTCTTGATATGAAAAGATTATAGGAGAAAGGTCAAAGCAGAAAAAGCATTCAATTATTTTCAACATTCATGGCTCAAATTCCTAGGAAAGGTTGAGTAGAAGAAAATCTCCTTTAACCAATAAAAGACAGCTCCAAAAACCTTTAGCCAACTCATATTCAAAATGAAATGTTTAAAAATATTCTCTTAAATTCTGCGACAAGTCAAGGATAATACTATCACTACTACTACTAAGCTCTATATTGGATATGTTAGCCTGTGAAAGAAGTTAAGAAAACAGAGCAGAGGAGTTGAAAAGGAAAATCCAAAACTGGCCTTATTTAGAAATATTATATTGTTTTATTATCTGATGTTGTATTATATATCTGATAAACATCTTATCTGATAGCAAAAGAACACTGTGGAAGGCAGAACAGTGGCTCCCCAAAGTGCCCACATCCTAATCCCTGGAACTTGTGAATATGTCACCTCACATGGTAAAAGGGAATTTGGAGATGTGATTAAGTAAAAGATCTTGAAATGGGGTGATTAGCCTGGATCATCCAGGTGGGCCCAATATAATCACAACAGTCCTTATAAGAGGGACACAGGAAGTCAACATCAGAGGCTGTGACAATGACAGATGTTAGAGGGATGACAGCGAGAAGGGGGCCATAAGCCAGGGAGTTCAAGAAGCTTCTCCAAGCTGGAAAAGGCAAGAAATAGATTCTCTGCAGAGCCTCCAGAAGGAGCACAGACCTGCCAACACCTTGATTTTAGCCCCATGAGACCCGTTTTCAGAATTCTGACTTCCAGAACTGTAAGTTAATAAATGGGTTGTATTGTGCCACAAAGAGTATGGTCATTCATCACAGCAGCAACAGGAAATGAATGTAAACAGAGTCTATTCTGAGAAGTAATAACGAGCTTGGCAGGTTTGCTGCATATAATTCCAGGTGAATCAAGACTTAAATGTAATAGGAAAAAGTTTAATTTTTTAGAAGAAATCATATGGTAATATCTTTAAAATACAGGATAGGGAAGAGTTTCTTAAATAAGACAAGAAAAATGTGAACCATAAAGAAAATTAAAGGGTATGAAGTCACACACACACACACACACACACACACACACACACACACACACACACACATATATAAATAAAACTAAGGCCTTTCATTAATCAAATTCCCCATAATATGACTGGGGAGAGAGGAAGTCACAGCTGAAAAAAGATATTTGCAGCACTTATAACAAACAGAAGCTTGGTATCTGAAATATTAGAGAATCTTAGGGTATCTGTAATATTAGAGAATATTAGAGTATCTGTAAGAAAAAATATACATACGTACATGGAAAATGGGAAAAACAGGCATTTTGCACAAGCTGAAGTCATTGAACATAGAAAAAGTGCTCAATTTAATTCATAATTAGAAAGATGCAAATTAAAACCTCAGTGAACACAATTTCATAATTATCAGGCTGGCAACAGTTAAAGTCTAACATTAGCAAGATTGGGCAGCACTCATTTATACTGATAAGGGTAGTGTAGAGTGGTACGGTCAGTCAGGAAGAATGTTTTCATCATTTAGTAAAGTGCACATATTGTACAAACCAGCAACTCTTATGTTAGATATACAACCATAAGAAAATCTTTCACCTGGGTACCCAGGCACTTGTGCAAGAACAGTTTAGCAGCGTTGTCCACAATAGCAAAAAGCTTCATCTCCTTTGTGATTTTTGGGATCCACATCGGTTGTACTAAACGCTTTTATTGAGCATTTGTTTATTTAATCCAGAAATATTTGTTGAGTATGCTAGGTGGTGGGGGTACAAAAACTGAATAAGCAACCATTCTTGAGAAGATGGACATAAAATCAAGAATTTAGGTTTAGCATGATACATTTTGTTAGGAGTTAGGTCTACAGGGAGAGCATCACAGAAGGACCATTAACAGCGGCTGGAAGAGGAAGAGCAAAGGGGCAGGCAGTGCCCAGATGCTGGCTAAAATGAGCCTTGTATGGCAAATAGTAAAAAGAAAATAAAGCACAAGATTATATGGCTGCTTTATCCTTAAGATGGCACTCTAAACTCACAATTCCTTTGTTAGAGAAAATACAGAAAAATACCTGTGATTTATACAAAAATCTCACTCAAACCTTATAAACTAAAATGGCTTTTGGGTTAAGTGCTTAAGGTATTATTTTCATTTCACCTTTACAGATACCTTAAGAAGTAGAGACAAGTATTTGCCCCATTTTGCAGACTAGGATGGAATCAAACAGTGTAAGTGACTTGCCCTCAGTCACAAAGCCCGTTAAGTGTCAAAGCCAGGATTTAAACTGAGAGCCGGAATCCACAAACTGTGCACTTAATCACTATGCTGTATCACCTCTTTATAGTCTTTCACATGTTTCAAATGTTGCAACATTAGAATGAAGACTTAGAAATGGGAATAAGACATTAAAGAGCCCATATCCCATATCTTAGCCCTCCAAGAGTGGCAGAAGACATCAAGGTACCCAGAGACCTGCGTTAGTAGGTCTTTGTTGGTTTTCTCTGTGCTGCCCAGACTGCAGCTAGGAGGCTGGCTCTGCCCTCCCAGGTCAGAAGCCCTGCCCAGGCCCTCCCCCATCACCCTGTGCATATGACCTCATCATACTTAACACTGAATTGGGCTGACTGGTTCAGATTGCTGTTTTCCTCACTGACATGTGAGCATCTTTGTAACCTCCATGCTTGGTGTCATGCCTGGAGCATAGATCTCTCATCAAATCTTTGCTGAACCTTTTCTTCTTCCATATTAAGCCAGACTTTGCATCAGAGGCACTATTTTCTCAGTGTCCTTTCTTCACCTCCTTGTGTGCACAAATAATCTCCGCTCAGACAGCAAATTGTAGGAGAGTGCTCAATCTGCCTGAGAAAGTAGTTTCTCTTTTTGAAACACTTGGGTGTTCAAGTGAGAATCAGAATAAGTGCAAACACTGGGTTTAAAGTGTTAAGCACACCTATTAGCAGGGACGTCTTCCCGAAAGGCATTTCTACACATGAGAAAACTATGCTGTGCTCACTGTCCTTTCATATTTTCATCCAGGTGAAACATACTTAAGATGAATGCCAAGGGCAACCTGGAGAAGGAAGAGAAGCAGCCAAAAAGTGAATCCTGCAAAAGGAGCATTCGTGAGGGAGGGTAAATTAATCCACTCACCTTCCACCTCCTCTCTTCTCTGACATGAACTTCAGGTTATTTATTAGCAACAACTGGTAATCATTACCTCTTTCCTAACTGCCCTAAATCAATACCTATCGCCCAAACCCCCTTTCTCCCCCAAATTCTCAAAGCTGGTATCCTAAGTAGTATTTCTAGTTTGGCAACCTTGGTAGCAATTTCGGTAGCCTGTACATGCTCCTGAGTGAGGGAAGCTTGGACCATCTGCCTAGGGGTTCACCTGGTCTTGGGGGTGGGAGGTGGTAGGAGAGTTGGCAGGTTCAGTAGCCAGTCTTGTAAGGATCAGAACACAGGTTTGGCAGTGAAACAGACTCAGGTTCAAACCCAAGTGCTAGCGCTAGCTGAACTTGGAGATTGTTTCCCTGTTTATAATATGGAAATATCACTAGATCTACTTCATTGGTTGCTACCAGGATTAAATGAGCCAATTCATGTAAAGCTCTTTGAACAATGTCTGAAAATAGTAAGTATTTAATAAATGTTAGCTATGATTATTACTATGGATTTATGTAATCCATAAGCAAGGAGGCTGGTGAATGACTTCAGTTATTCACTACTTATTATTAACCCCTTTACTACTGACTAGATATTATGTTAAGTCCTGGAGACACAATCTTCATTTCTTTATTCAGTAAATATAACTAAGCTTCAGACAGGAATAATATTTTGAGTTATTTGCAATGATAAGTATAGTGTTGAACTGGCCAACACCTTGAAATCTTCCTTCCCCAATATTTCAACTCTACTTAGGGATTTCCCTGCTACAGGTAATCATCATAAATAGAAAGCATTTGGGTCACAAAATTTTGCTTTACTGTAAAAGTTTATTTTCTCCACAAACCTCAGGATGTTTATTTTCTACAGTTGAGCGTTTTTTGTTTCCAAGTAATGTGGTGTTCAGGGAGGTATAATGCTTTTTGTAGATTAATTTATGGGTTTTGACATTCTTGAGTGTCCAGAATGTCCAACTCTGTGATTACAGTGGATTTTTTTGACATACAAAGCAGTGAGAGCTGTGGGCTTTGGGGTCAGAAAAACCTGACTCTAAGTTCAGCCACTTAACAACTATGGAATCTTAAGTAATTTTTTCACTATTCAGAGCCTTGGTTTCTTTACCTGTAAAAGAGGGATAAAAATATCTCCTCTTTGGAGACTGATGGGAAGATTAATCCTTTCTTCCTACTCTCCCTCTCTTTTTTCCCTCCTTCCTTCCTTCAACTAGTATTCATTTGTTGAACACCTATTATATAGCAGACATTCTCCTGGGTGCTGAGATTACAAAAGTAAACAAAACAGGCAGGAATCCTTACCCTCATTGAGTTTGCAATCTAATAAGAAAAAATTGAGGGAATAATTAAGATTGTTCATGGAAATTAAAAGACAAAAATTAATTATTGCATCAATGTATGTAGTACTGTAAGTCCGAGGAAAGGAAATCCCGGGGAAAAATACCTCTAAAAACCGAAATCAGTCAAAGGGAGAAATAAAATTTAAAACCTGTTTATTACTTACAAAACTGCAGTCTGGCCCATCTCTCTCTCCTGCTCTAGCATCAGCAAAACTGGCCCTCCCCTTCACCTCTTCAGTACAGATAAGCCCTCCGTTGCCCAGGTAATTACCCACTGATATGGAGATGAACTTCTCTCCACTCCTGAGGAATGATGCAAATGCACTAAAGCCATACTTTTTTCCACCTCTGAACGCCTATTGAGATGTAGATGTACTAAAGCCAGGCGAGATATTCTGGAAATATTACAATTTTACCCACAAGTACTTATATCACTAATAAAAGGCTTCAGAAGCATTTAATTGTGACAGAATAGAGATGCAAATTTGAATCTGCAGTTACGTAATGAAGACAATCTGACCAACAAAAACAGGAAGGAGTTAACTGCCAGTGAAAAGAGTTTCAAATTATCTTTTATTAGGTAATCTTATAATTTCATAACAGTTGTTTGGGTATACAAACATGTATATACAGTTTCCTAAACATGTAAATAAAAGGTAGTAGTATACTATATCTGCTTGAATTCATATTATTCAAAACATCATCAAACATTTACTATAAAAGTCAGTAAAATTGTTAAACATGTTCTAAAAAATTTTGGGTGTGTGTACATAAACATTTTCAAGCTTGCTTTAAAAAAAAGTGCAATTTCTATCCATGTGTTCATAGTGACTTTCAAAAGTAATTCAAAGGGGGAAAAGAGAAGGTAGCATTGCCTTGTAATACAGCCTTAATACTGACTTACCCTGGGACATTTGTGAAAGATCTTTTGTTATCATATATGGTAAAATATATTTAAAAATTAATACTCCATTTCTGTGAATAAAACATAGGAAATAAGACTTTGTTTTCTTAGACTAACTTGTTACCATAAAAACTGCATTCATTCTGCAGATATAATTGATAGCTCACATTATTACTTTAAAAATATTTATGATACTTGAAATTCAAAAGGAAACCCAGAAGATTTATTCTCCTCTCAATACATTCATTGAATGCAGATTTAAGTGAGCACATCTCATTTTGATGGTGCCCTCTATTTGCATATTTTAAAATGACTACAATATGGTACATGTGTATTTTTAACTGGTACCAAAAGGAAGATGGATGATCTATGCAAAACCAGCAGCCTATACTTCCATAACAGTTGTCATATGCAAAAAGAAAAAAAAAAGCCCTGAGTCAGTGTTTTTTGCAAATAAATGACTACAATATGGTACATGTGTATTTTTAACTGGTACCAAAAGGAAGATGGATGATCTATGCAAAACCAGCAGCCTATACTTCCATAACAGTTGTCATATGCAAAAAGAAAAAAAAAAGCCCTGAGTCAGTGTTTTTTGCAAAAGTAATGAAAAAGAGTGCTCTGAAGTCATTTTATAACTTATGAAATTGGTAAGACTGTCCGGTATTCATTTGTTTTGTTTTCATTTTGATTAAAGAGAGGTATGGCTTTTGTTCAGTTAATCCAATTCAGATCATTTCTTAAAACTCAATTTCATTTAAATCCTCAGAATATCCTGATGATTGCTGAGTTGTATCTTCCATTTCTGTCAGGAAAGATAGACAATAATAATCTTCTCTATTTTTATGGTAGAAAAATATTTAATTTGCATTATCAGTTGAGACTACTGTAAAAGCCCATTCCAATCAAACTTAAATTGGGAAAAATACTGTTACCTGCACAGGGTCCTGCTTGAAATTTAACATCATCAATGGCAATATCACTTCTTATTGACACTCCCCGAATGGCTTCAAAAATTACCTGAAAAACAATGAAGGCTGAATTTAGAATAGAGTCATCTGATAAAACAGTCCTGGTCAGGGACAGATTCAGGCTGTGTGGATCTGGAAATTTAGGTTGTTCTTGGGCCCCCTTTAAGGAAAAAATACAAACCCACAAATACAAATTTAGGTAAAAAAGAGAATACTTATTTGGAAATAAAAGAAATTCACAACAAATTACTGGAGACATGGAGATTCAGGTCCCTTTCTTCTGAGATCTCTTCAGGCCATTTCCCAGGAACGCTTACCTAGAAAGGTTTCCTGGTGGTGACCTGGTTTCCCCTCCCCACCTGCATTCTACTCCCAGAATTCAAAGGTCCTATGACAGTTATGGGCTGAGAAGCTTAAGCTTTCTTAGGTTCTCCTTTGATATTGGTACTAAAACAGAGAATTTAATATGACTGATGAGACCATGTATGAACAGCAAAGCATAGTAATTAAATTTACCAAAAAGACAATGTTTCATTCATCATGTTAAATACTATAACATCTAAGAACATCCCAGGAGGAAGCGGAACCAGTTTCATGATTCTACAACCTGAGAAGAAAAGTAATGATCAAATATACAGGTCCTAGGGAAACTACATTATATTACCAGCTCTAAGGCTGACTCGACAATGATTAATAACCCAGTGAATACTCCAAGGAGGTTTGTGGGTAATGAAAATTGTCCAGAAGACACATTTGCTCTACTCATTTTATGAGCAAATGATTCCCTATTGAACTACTTGATGATTTAAATTGAATCAAAGAATATAAAGTTAATAATAAGTCTGTGAAACTATCTTGAAATTAATAACCTGAAAAATCTTTAATGACCAAGATGTGGCAAAATAACATTAATAAAAATTCTAAGGACACAGCCCTAAACAAGAATCCAAACAAATGGCAAGAAGAGGGAAGAAAGTGTCCTGACACTTTTAGGTAGGAGGGTATATGAGTGAAGTTAATAAGCATTTTGGTTTACTGGACAACAGTAAAATCTGTTTTGACTTTCAAGTCTGCAGTGGAAGTGTAATAGACAAATTACCTGATAAAGTTACATTCTGAATAGTTTGTGGTTGGACTAAACACTTGATTTCATAAAACCTTCTTCTTTGAATTTCCTTAATAGTTGAGTGATAACCATTTTATCACATAATGACTTCCTCCTTGGATTACAGATAGATATTCTTTTAGTAAATAATAGTGGTTACTTAAGAGTTAGATAAAAATATTATTTCCCTTTCAATTTAAGTGTATTATTTTTTTCAAATGGCTGCTGAGTTATTAGGACATAAATACTTAAGTTGTTTGGACCCAACAACTTAACAAATGAAGCTGTTAGGTATTTCTTTAGGTCTAGGGACAACAGGAAAAAGTTACTGGGACTAAGGGCACCATGAAAAAGAAAATTTGGAGACTAGTCTTAGCTGAGTACCTGGCACATTCCTAGTATTTAGTCAGTATAATGAACAATATGAGTGATGTAAATATTCCAGTGAGCTGAGAATTTGTCTAATATTTCCTTTCAGTGGCATCAAAATACAAGAAACCATGGACAAAAACACCTGAGAGCAGAGAAGGAAAGGTCTTGAGCAAGGAATCCAAAGGAAATAATTTTGTGTTTTTGATCAATTGCAAGTCAAGGTCTGCTTAGCACTTTAATAAATCCCTCAAGAAGAAGCATGATTAAAATTTTACCACTTGAAGCATTCCTTCTTCAAGGATAATCTCATGATTGGAACATCATCTGGAGACCACCTGCATATTTTCCCTGGAGGATGAGTCTCACATGGCAGCAGTACTGTAGCATTCTAAACTCATCTATATGCCCACTCCCACAAATGATATCCACATTTCCTTCTCTAGCTCTGTTCTTCCCCCTGAACTCATCTCTTATCCTACTGTTTGCCTGACATGCCCACTCGGATGTCTGATATCAAAAACTTGGCATGTGCCCCCACCAAAACCTGTTAATTTGCCTCCTGCACACATTGCCCTCACTTTTCCTCATCTGCCACCTGAAGTCTTCCTCACCTCAAAAAATGGTGACTCCATTGCAGCAATTGCTCCAGCCAAAAATTATGGAGTCATCTCCACTCCTCCCTTTCTCTCACACCCCATGTTCCATCCATAAGGAAGTCCTGTGGGGTTCTGATGACATCTCACCTCTGTTGCATAGCCCAGGCCACTACTCCTTGTGTCAGAACTAGTGCAGTAGCCCCCAAAGTCATCTTTTCCCCCACAGTTTGCTCCCCCTATAGTAGCTGGTGTGATCATTTTAAATATAAATCAGATCATCTTACCTTCAAGCCATCTGACAGTTTAATGCTTTTGGAATGAGTATCAAATTCTACCATGATGTCCAGGGCCTTTCATGATAACACCATGACGTCATTACCTGATTGGCGTGACTAATTTTTCGTAGTACTTATTACCACCTGATGTTACATTATATATTTTTTGGTTTGTTTTCTACTTCTCCTCCACTAGAATGTAAGCACCAAAAGAGTAAGAACTTTATATGTTATGGACATGGCAATATACCCAGCACTTAGAGTAGCAAGTGATCAATAAATATTTATGAAAATGAGATATTTTGGCCTCATACTACATAGAAGCTGTGCTTGAATGCCTCATGCAGCTACTGAAAATACCAGGTCTGCCTGATGATATGAATTAGAGATCAGAGAGATTTGAGAGGGAATATATTTTTAGAAACAATAATAATATCTTTTTATATTTTAGTACTTTAAAGTTTGTAAAACCTTTCACATACTGTGGGGTAAATGGCAGAATTTCTAGAATCTCTTGCCTGGCTTTAGCTAAACACATATCAATAGGTGTTTACTGGTGAAGCTTCCTACAGCCTCTGGGCAAGGGGTGGAGAGATAATGGCCATTCTTTCCTCCCCTCCACTTCTGGTATGTAATTGGTCTGGCATCTACCAGTCACCAAGGACCTACCAATGGAGTTACTCTTGGAAGAGGCCGATGGGAAGTAGAGAGCATGGGGTGGGGGTGGGCAGAGTGTGAGTGGAGGCTGGAGGAGACAGATAGGGCCGGACCTAGCAAGCAAATTTGAGCAAGCTGTGAACAATAAAAAATGGTTTCTCCCAACCCACCCTTTCACATGACTTATTTCGGTTTCACCGGTTTCATAGGGGAAGTTGCACCAGGCAAGGAATACCCTTTCCCCTGGAGTTACACATACCTCCACTCTAACTCTGGTGATGTCAGCATGGCAGGAATTATTACCCCATTTTGAAAATGTGTAAACATTATCAGAGAAGATGAACTTTCCCCAACATCACCCAGGTCTTGTGACACTAGGGGAATGAGGTATTTGGGGACTGCTGTGGTGGGAGGGGTACAAACTTTGGAACTAGTCAGATCTGGGATTAAATTCTCACTCTGCCATTTGCCAGCTGGACATTTAGTTTTCTCCATCTGTAAAGAGGAGTGCCAAGATCAATTAGAAGAATTTATATGCCTGATACATAGATGATGGCCAGTCTATGTGCATATGGGTACATCTCTATTAGATGCTAGGATATTTTGGAGAAGCTAGTTCAGCCCAGTCTCCTCCAGACAGTTGTTTGGGATTCCTGAAGGAATCATTAAATATAAAAGAAAATTCATTACAACAGATTCATATCTGTTTCATTCTAAGCCAAAGGGAATGGTCTGCAGTCTTCTTTTCAGATTGAAAGCTGAAATCTCTCAAGCCATTCTGCACCCTTTGGACTTGAAAATCCCAAGATGCCACCCCAGATGGCTCACTACTTTGTGTTCAAAAAACATTTCCAACAACCAGTGTGGATAAAATGAGAGTTCCGGTGGCCAGGATTCTCACCTGGCCTTGGTTGACTAGCTCACTGCACACCAGTGGGCAACTTGACTCTATATAAAGAGCTCCACCCAGTGCTCTGTGTGCAACATGCTGGCAGGGCTGCAAGGCTGCAGGAGAGCAGAACAGAGGCTGGAGTGGTGGCAGTGCTGAGGACAGAGGCCCAGGGGACGGCTGTACAGACAGAGGGGCCCAGAGGCAGAGACCGGCTTGCTGAATGCAGACTTGCTCTGAGTGAATGGGATTCTAGTGACTGACTTGCCACCTGGAAATAAACTTGGGTGTAACCCTTTCACCCCAAGAACGTTTCACTGTCAATTTCTTTGGTCACACTGAATCCATAGCAAACTTGCCCGGGGCTAAAACCCATTGGCAAGACAACCAGCCACCCTCAGTCTAGTAGATGCAAGGCCTTGTACCCAACTCCCTAGGCTTAGATACTCATAAGTCACCTGTTCCCAGAACTCACGTCCCAGAACTCCTATGCATGAGCACATGAAGTTTGGGGAGTTAAAAAAAAATACCAATGCTTGCACTCCACCCAAGAGATTAGGTTAGTCTAGGGCTGTGATTCTCCATCTTTAGTGGGCATCTAATTACCAGGAGGCTTTAAGAGACAGATTCCTGGGCCTCATCCCCAGAATTTTTGGTTTAGTAGTTCTTAGATGGGGCCTGAGAATGTAAATTTCCAGTGAATTTCATTTTAGGTGGATTTGTATTTCAAATGTTACTGCTAGTCTCAGGGCCACATTTTGAGAACATTTGTACAGGCTAGAAGTATGAGTGTCCTAATAGCCTAACAAAATTAGTCCATCAACTCTGGTTGATCAGTCATATTAGTAAGTTCTTGAGGGATCCACTTTCCTTCTGTAAACAGACATTAAATCATCAAAATAATTTCAGAGTTATCTGTTTTCTTTATTGTATTACTAGACAGTTTTGCCCTGCTGAGCTGGTAGGCCATCCCTGGACAATGGCACATCTTCCCTCTTTCATTGGTTCTTTAGGAACTCAGCACTTTAGATGGCACTGCAACATGGTGACCTGAGCTTCTGGAATTTCTTCCCATTTAGATCTGCAGAAAATTAATTTAGGCTGTGGGATAGTATAAAATAAAGTCCTTGTTTTGAATACCTCTTCCCAGAAAGATTTGGGCTTAGTCCAAGCAGCTGGTGGTTAAAGCTGAGGGGTGCTGGTCCCAGAGTTCATCAGTCAGAAGCAGGGATTTTAGTTCAAGTTCACACCTGAGAATTCTACAGAGCAGTTTCATGAACAATCAGGGGCCTGAAGGTTATCTTCCCAGAGCTCTCTGGAGTTTAGCTCACGGTAGGCAGGTGAAGTCAGTGGCTGCAGGAGGCCACTGATGATCTCTAGACTCGATTGGCTACACCACCACATCTATTGGAATTTAAAAGGGTCTTTCCTACCACTGCCCACATTCCCTTATAATCAGGATGCTGTAAGATGGAGATCTACTAGCACATGAGAAGACTCAGGGGAGACCCAGGTCTTAGGAGCAAGACTTTCAGTTTTTTCTGCATCAATGCAGACAGAGGCTTAAAAATTTACTCTAGACCATATACTCTACTAAATAAAGGCTCACAACAAAAGCCTTGCATGTGGGTAATGATGAGTGAAAGATGCAGCTGCAACAACTGATTAGTAATACCATGTTTGGAAGAAAGGGAGCCTTTGTTTTTGGAGATTTGCAGGACACACAGAATATACTTGACACAATGTACCCAGACAATTGCTGGCATTCATCACTGAGTTGCAAAAATCACTTTATGCATAAATACCCAAAGCTTTCTCTCCCTAATTTCCCACACACTGCTTGGATTTAATCAATGTAGACTATGTTTACTCTTAAACAAGTACGGCCTTTATCTTTGACCCTGAAAAAGAACAAAACACTCTCTTTGGTAGCAAGAAAAAGAAGTTTATAGTTGTATGTCTTTTCGCTTACCTTGTGTTGCCTTTCACAGCTGTATTCAATCAGTGCTCGCATCCAGGAAATGCTCTGCTCACCTCCTCTTCTCCATAAGAGGGACTCTTCACTGTCACCTTCCTTTTTCAAATAAATGCTCAGCAGGCCAGTCCCTGCTCCATACATGTGGTAGAAAAAGGTCAAGCAGTGTTTTCCAATGACTCCCCTCAGAGGCCTGGACGAGAGGTGTGCTTTCTGTCCGTACACCATGTGGGAGGCCTCAATGTACATGTAGTAACCTTGAGAGCAATGCAAAATCAGGTCTTGTTAGAAAGGACCCATTATATTCTCTTCTTTCTCTTCTGACTAGTGTTCCTAGAAACAAATTAAAGTAAGTAGATGACTTGACTCCAGTACTGATAAAGGATTTTATAAGTTCAGCAAATTCAGTTGAATATACAGAAGGTAATTAGTATACTAGTATTATGCCATTGATGTGGTGATTAATAAATCAGAATTTATCCTACCAATTCATGGACAATATTCTGGAACTTACAGACATTGTTTTTGTGGGGGGGGGGGGAGCAAGGAGTTTGAAGTCAGGTTCAGGTAGATCTGGGTTCAAGTCTTGGTTTTAATATTTGTTGTCTGTGTGATCCTGGTCTAATGAATTATCCTCTCTGAACCTATATTCATCATTCAAAAATAAGGGTTTATAGTATTTGCAGTACAGTTGTGAGAATTAAATAATGTATGTGTCATATGCCCACTTGTAATATATATTTAAATGTTAGTTTTGTATTTCCACTTCCCTTTCCCAATTTTAGTTTGTTTTTTTAATTTCCAGGCAAAAGCAGGATTAGTTTGCATATGAATAAGGCAGTGATCTGCTGGCATCAGTTTTCAGCAGTTCCCATGAGTCAGTGGTGTGACTTCTGTGGGTAGGTCCAAATGATTGCACATCAGTAGCTGGAAATGAGCCATGATGTAAATATTTACACCACAGAATTGGGAATAGCTACAAATTGGCCAACTACCCCCAACCCCCACCAAAAAAAAAAAAATGCTGGTTAGTGTTAAATACTTATCACCAAGCCACTGAAATAAGGCAATAATGAATAGGAATTTCTAGAATAATGTACCAGGAATATAATTCTGTGTACCTAAGCCCATTTAAAAAAAAAAGGCCCTGGACTCCACATCTGTTCTTAACCTTTGACCATTTGATGAAAAGTTTTTACCACTTCTACCTGAAAAAATATACACAATCATTTGCAAGCAATTTGTCTCTTTGCCAATATTGAGTTTTTTTAGATACATGATATAAAAATAATCTTTACATACTGTTATACCTCCTATTATTTCATGCAAAAATTGATAGCTGAATGGAGTGGGGAGAAATAGAAATCCCAAATACTGCATGCAAATGATGGCTTCTAGGGCATCGTTCTTCATAATTTGAAGTTTAATGAAATGAGCTTTAGCCATTTCCCCAAATGCATTGCTTGAGATACCTCAATTGGAACTGATCAAAAGCCTCATCTGTGCTCCTCCATGGCTTTCTCCTTTCCCCCATTTCCACAAACACAGACTTGAGAAGTCCTACAGGCTATCAGAAGGCTGGGAGAAAGAGTACTGCCCAATTTGGTCTTATCAAATTGTGTGCACTGTGTAACCCCCTCTCTCAGAGTTTCGCTCAGTAATGTTGTCACTCTGAAAAACTGGGCCATTAGAGTCAAGGGATACGGCCTTTGCTCAACCAGTCATCCCCATGATCTGCTTTAAAATATTAGGAAAACTACTGTCAGTGTTTCTGCAGTGTTCACCAATGATTCCCCTTTACGAAAACCAATGGTCCATTTTCAGTGCTTGTCGTTCTTGTCCCAGCAGTAGCATAACAGGTCACTCCTTGGCTTGCAGAACACTGTTCTCTCCTGGGTTTTCTTCCACCTAACTGGTCACTCCTTCGCTAGTGCACACTTTCTTCTAACCTCTCGAACTTGGAGTGGCCCAGTTCTTGAACTTCTCTATTTTCACTCTCTCCTTTGGTGATCTCATCTTGTTCCATGGCTTTAAAGATTACATATGTTGTATATCTCAAATTAAAATTTCTAACCTCTTTGCTAAAATCCAGAATTGTTTATTCAAACTGACAAATGGACATCTCCACTCACTGTCAAACAGACATCTCAGACTGAACATGTTCACGACTCAGCTCCTAACAGCTTTCCCCTAAAGCCTACTGAGCTCTTTCTGGTTGGCTAGACCCTAAACCTGGGAGCCATGTACCACTCCTTGCCTCCTCTCGCTCTCCACAACCAGGCTGTCAGGAGTTCCTGTGGCTCTACCTTCAAAATCTATCCAGAGCCCAGTCATTTCTCTTTTCACCATCTCCATTGCTACCTCTTGGCCTGAGCCACTATCATTTTTTGCTTGGATTAATGCAACACTTCCCAACTAGTTGGTCTGCTTCTACCCTCATTCTCTACAATCTAATCTCAACATAGTATACATAGTGAACCTTCTGAAACAAAAGCTAAATCTTTTGAACACTACTCTGTTCAAAACCTTCCATTGGCTCAGAATTTCACTCAGAGTAAAAGCTGAAGGCCTCACAACTGCTTTTAGAGTCCTGTACAATTTCCTGCTTATTCTCTACATCTCTGATTCTTACTATCTTCTTCTCCTATAACCTTCCTCCTTACTGTGAGTTGAGTGAATCACTACACTGGTCTCTATGCTGTTCTGGGATATAGTAGGTATGCTACTGCCTCAGGGCCTTTGCATGTGCTAACCCCTCCACCTGGAATGGCTTTTCCCCTATAGGATCTGAAGCCTCACTCCCACCTCCAAATCTTTACTCAGTTATCACCTTTTCTATTAGGCCTATTTTGACTACACTATTTGAAATTGCAATCCCTCTCTTCTTGAACTTCTTATTTCCTACTAATTTATTATTTTCCACAGCACTATAACATTTAAATTGCCTAACATACTATATAGTTTTCTTATTTTTCACGTTTGTCTATTTCTCTACTGTAGAACACACAACAACAGAGATATTCCCTTGTGTACTTCACTGCTATGCTCCCAGGTCCTAGAACAGTGCCTAGACAGAGTAGAAGCTCAATAAATGTTTGTTTGAATGAACTAATGAATGCATTTTTTCCACAGCCGTAAGCCACAAACCAGTGTGACCAAGGTCACTCCAGTTGTATGAGGGTCTTGGAATGAGACATGCACTTGACTAGAACACTCTAAGGCAAAACTAGAACAAATCAGGTTTTGATAAAATTAGTCATATCCAAGCAAATGTTCTCAAAACAGTTCCATACCATCTGATGTATTTTTTTAAGGGAACATACATAATATGATAATTCTTTAACTTTGTTACTTTCATTTCTTTCACTGGCAAGAAAATTGCTATAATGGAAGCACTGGGATTATGGCACTTTCAGCAATGAAAGGAACTTTGTTCTTTTCCTTAGCATTTTGTAACTTCAGCTAGGCTGGATATAAACACATACAGATATACATAATCCTAACTGAATGGTGTATCTAATTTAATTCCCTGGGGAATAAGGTCAAAGCATGAAAATGACCATGGTTCACTGCCTCACTTCATATAAAGGTATCCCAGGCTGTTCTATGTATTAGGACAGTTTGTGGCACAGTGGACGGAAGCCCCACTTTAGCGTGTGTTTTTAACCTCAGAAACATTTCCTCCAAAAACTAATTCTAAAGGAAATCAAAAGAAATCAAAGAAAAATCACTTTTGTCCCTGGCCATTAGGGCTCTAAAAAAGGCCCATGTGAATCCTATGTAAAGGACTTGGTTAAAAATGAAACAGTAAGGGGGGTATAATAGCCTCCTCTGAAAATACTGTCCCTAGGAAAACTGGGAAGTAAAGACTTGTGGGGCCCTGAAACCAAGTCTTTTCAGAAAGGAAAGGGAGCAGCAGACCCGTCACAAGTGAGCGATAACCCAGAAGTCTCTTTCATCTGGTGATGATAATGTGCCTCCTAGTGATATCATGAGTGCTGGCCAGAATCCAGTCCTGGAGGGGAGGAAAACCCCTAGTCACCTCCAGGATTACCCAGTTGAATCCTTTTTCATGATTACAATGCACTAATCATTTAGCCTCAAATGTTGAAGTATTCTTCTAGCAATGCTTTCACCTCATGCTCCTCTAGGTCTCAGGTATCAGGTTGAAGCCAAAGACAGGTCTCCAGTTCCTGGGGCCTCTGTGTGTTTCGTACTGTGAAATGTGAAATAGGAAAGGAAATCTCCTAAGCCTTGACCTGTGTAATTGTGCCACTTTTTCAAGAGAGGGCTAACATTCAGGGGAACGTAAGTACAGCTGGGCCTTTCCAGGGCACTAACACCAGGCCACTTTTCTTCAGTAATGTTGGCCTTTCCAAAAATCCTTCAGGACACAGTTTTTATTTTAAGCACATTCCAGAAGGCAATACTGATTTAGGCCAATCTAGGCCAACACATAGACCTACAAATAATTTTAGCATATTTGTCAACTGGTTAGAATTTGTCCTTCTGATGCACAAACCAATTATCCCTCTTGATTCCAAATATGTTTTTCTTCTTGACTTTCATGACAGTGACATTTCATTTCCCCAGAAAAGATCAGAACCTTATGGAGAGGCCTGCCTCACGTGTGTTTAGAAAGCAGAGAAAAACCCTGTGTGTTGATCAGTTTTGCCACATTAAAACTCCAAACGCTGTCTGTCTCAGCAAACAAGAGCTCTGGAAGGGAGTCAGGAAGCCCCAGCATTGAAACCTCCAACTGGCTCATGTTTTCTTGCCCATGAAGGATTCCAGTCAGTAGAGGGGATTATTAACAGGAGAAAACATATCATTTTCTCTCTGTGGGTCATTGTTTAACATTCAAGACAGGGTTCCAATAGTTCTACTGGGAGATCAGAGTCCCATCTGTTCTTTGGACAACAACTGTGATATGTTGAGACACACACCATATTTGCAGTTTGGAATAGGCGAAGCAGCTGCTCCTTCCTTCTTGCACCCCCTTTACCAGGGCCAGAAAGAAGCCCAAGTGGTGTGAACATCTAGCTGCATTTATTAAGTCTGGAACAGGATTCTGAACAATCAGGGAAAAAGTACATCAATACTTTGGATAGAATAACAGCTAAATGTCTCTCTCTACAATTGCTCTTTACTCTGCCTTTTAAATGATTTTTAAAGCTTGTCGTAAATGAGAAATTATTGTTTTATTGCTATGGCATTTTGGCATTTCAGTTTGGGAAAATGAAAAAAGTCCAGGAGG